TTGTAGCAAGATAGCATTCACAATCCTTTTTGTTTAGCCAAAAACAAAAAGTGAATGTTCTTGTAATGGCCCCTCAATTATTGTTCATCCAATTATTCATTTTAAAATTTAAAAATATAAATTGAACTCATTAGTGATTAGTTTTTTCATAATATGAAAATCGAATGCGATATGGAATGATAATATATAATGGGTAAAATATATATATATATATAATGGGTAATTCTGTATGTTACCAAATCCGATAGATGGGATATTGGAGGTTTGAAATAAATCTCTCTACACATGATTATAAATGAATAAGTTATACAGTTAAAAAAACACAACCACCCATTAATAGTCGGTTAAAAAAGATACGAATTTGGTTAAACACGAAACAAAATCTCTACGCACACAATTATAAATGAGTCGATTATGAATTGAGTAAATTTAGACATAACTAATTTATACAGTTGAAAACACAATAACCCATTAATAGTCGGTTAAAACAAATACAAACTTGATTAAACACAAAACAAACCTCTCCACACACGATTATAAATCAATTGATTATGAATTAAATAAATTTAGGCACGACTAATTTATACAATTGAAAAATACATTGATAATCGGTTAAAACAAATACAAATTTGGTTGAACACAAAACAAACCTCTCCACACGTGATTATAAATTAATTGATTACGAATTAAATAAATTTAGACACGATTAATTTATACAGTTTAACAGTTAAAGACTTAGAATTTTACCATAAGTCGAGTGCTTTCATGACAAGTTCAACCAGCTCACTTGCATCTATCTTTCGATTCTATCAAGGGGATGTATCAATATCACTTTCATATATTGATCCAACCATTAGAAAGAAGCCACAAGGATGACGTAGGTTTCGAGGTTAGATTAATTCTTAGTTCCATTCAATGCCTAACTTGTCTAATTCCTTTGGGTATTTTAACAAAAGTGACCGACATATGACTCATTTGATTGATACAAAGTGATATTTCTAATAATTTAGTGGAAAAAAACCGTTGGATCCCACTTTTGTCACTATTGGTTATTGGGTCTATCAAATCAATGATCTCAATAATTTTGACGTGGGTTATCTGGGAGGATATACACTCTGAAAAAGCTAATCTAGCCCCAGTTACCATGTGGTCTATTTGGTATAGTCGAAATAGAGACAGTGTGGAGCAAGAAGTTTTCCCTCCCCCTCAGATTATTATTTTTGTTACATCATTTCTTAGTCAGTTTATGACTGCCTAGAAGGTATTCCTTTAGGGTCTGTTTGGTATATTTTGTGGGAGGGGTTTGGATTGACTTGTCCAAACCCTAGTTTGACCAAAGATGAGGGAGAGGAGGTTGACGGGTTGGTTGGTTGGTTGGAGAAAGGGGTGGTGGTTGTTCGTCTCTTTTATGGGGGTGTTTGTTTCGTGGGATTTTAGGGGATTAGAGTGGAGGATTGACTAAAAATGTCTTTGGGACCATATATCTTTTATTTGAGTCCAAAAAATGGGGTGGGATAAATGTTGGATTTTAAAAATTTCGACTCATAAAAACTAGACAATTTATCCCTTCTAGAATTGATATTTTTAACCCGCGTATGGGATAAATTGCACTAGATTTTCAACCAATAGGATTTATAGGTGATTCTACAATAAAATTTATTTGCAGAAGTTTCTAGGGTTTCACATACAAGATATAATGATAAATAACTATAAAATTAATAGAGAGAATTACACTCAGACCTCTTAAAATTTGTCACTTAATCACTCAGATTTTATGACATTTGAAATATTACACATGAACTCCTTAAAGTTTGTATGCACGTAACACATACACCCTTAATATAAATATATCCGTTAACAAATTACACCCAGACCCCTGAAGTTTGTAAATATATATTACTTAAACATCTTAGATTTAAAATGTTATACTTAGATTAAAAATACTTCAACTAAAGACAAAATATCAAATATTTTAAATATTAAATTTTATAATTAAAATTCATGTTCTATTATATCATTTATTGAAATAGACAATATAATTTGTTGCAAAATTTAAAATATTTGATATTCTATCTTGATTATAATATTTTTTGTCTAAGTATAATATTTTAAAATTAAGGGGTCTAAGTATTTTATACCTACAAACTTTAGGGAATCTAAGTGTAATTTTTAATAGATATATTTATAGTAGGCGTCTAAATGTTATACATATACAAACCTTAGAGAGTCTGTGTATAATATTTCAAATGTTAGGAGGTCTGAGTGATTAAGTGACAAACCTCAAAGGTATAAATATAATTCTTCCAAATTAATATCATGTTTGCATTCATTAAATGTGGCATATGCATGAGACTCACACTTTATATATTGTCTTCCAAAATAAGAGTAAGAGTAATGTTATATGAACTTAAAAAGTAGATTTGATAATCTCAACTATTGATTTTATTGTGGGTCCCAGTATTTATTGAGACTCACTACCTATTCAATGGTTGAGATTATCAAATTTAATATTTAAGTCTACTTTTTTAGTCCATGTAACATTACTCCCAAAATAAAGGATTGAATGAGATATAGAGATATTATCATCGCTCCGGTCGAATTTTATTGCATTGGTTTGGATAAAATTGACTTCAAAATCCAATCAAGCCCAATCCAACCTTGATTTCCTAAACACACCCTAGTTTATATATGGGAAAAACATAGGGCCTGTTTGATTTGCGTTTCAAAAAATAGTATTCGAAAATAGTTTTTGATAAGAGTTTTAAAAAAGTGGTTTTGATATTTTTTGAGATAAAAAACTTGTTTGGTTAGATGATTTCAAAAATAATTTTACAATACAAAAAATAGTAAAACATGTTTGGACAGCCTAAATATATATTTGAACAGTAATTCAAACATTAATAAAAAAATATAAAAAAATTATTTTTAGATAGACAAATTCATAAAAAAAAATTCAATAAACCAAACTTTAAAATATATATATATATATATATATATATATATATATATATATATAATATATATATTATTCTCCTTGTTTCCAAAATTTTCAAAGAAAACTCTGAAACTAATTACACTTATTTTCTGTTTTTTTGACTCAAATCTCATTTTTTTTTTCAAAATTTAGATAAAAAAATGTTAAACAAACATATTTTAGGTATTTTTTAAATTTTGAAAACAAAAAACTATTTTCAAGATGATAACCAAACATGACCATACATTTTACATTGGCAAAAATGTAAAAACGCCTGATATGTCTGTCAAAGATGTGTCAATGAAATTTCAAAACTATAAAAGGGTGTTTGGTAAGGGGATACGAAGGGGTTTGACAAAATGGATTTGGGAAAAATCGTCTAATGAATTCTCAAATTTCATTTTTGAATTGAAAATTTAATTTTGGGTTTTCAAATCCAACTCGTAGCTGGCCTGAATATTAAAATCTTGATCATAACTTTCGTCAAACATAGAAAAAGGTGAGTTTGAAGAATGAGTTAAGATATTAAGGATGAAAAATATAATTATATCCTTTAACGTGAGTATGAATTGAATTGATCAAAGATAAATGTGTGTGCTGAATCTTGCACAATATAAACACGAGAATAGATCTCTCTCTTGGTGAACTCGAGTGAGTCAGTCGAGTGGTCAACCTTGCTGCTTGGAACAGCCTGTGACGTCCGGTGGTAACCTGAAACGGTAATGGGAGACCCTCGTGGATCAATGGAACAATCTAATAAGGCTGAGGAAGGTTCCTGGAACCAAAAAAGACAAGTTAGAAGGGTGCCGAAGTGTTTTCTGGCGTATCCCCTCCGACAATCAAGTCAGTTTTTGAGAGAGAGGAAGAAGAAAACACTGAGTATATGTTTGAGCAAAGGTTTCACCTTGTTCCTATCTTACCTTTTATGAGGAGTATTTATACTTCAAATACTCATGATTGCTGTCAGTGTGGTCAGTAGGTGATCATTAGATACAGGCAACATACACACTGATTCCTACGAGGAATGTCTTCCCTTTTAACTGCTCGGGATCCCGAGCAACCAAGCCTGTGTCATCGGCCTGCCGACTGTTCAATGAGTTGCTCTCGGCAATGATGTAATAAATGTCCAGCCTTAGAGACATTTATTACCTTTCACTTCCGGGTCTTACCGCATTAAATGTTGTCTCATCAAGGGAATGGTGTAATTAAATGCTTGCTTTCCCAAGTCGTATGTCAGCAAGGGCATCTGGTCTTTCTATCTCTGATGTGACACAATATGCCACGCGTCCATTCCCTATTGGCTGTGTCCCCTGCCTTTTTGAGTTTTTTGACATCAATTGTGTAAGATGAGGTCATGATGGCTAACCTAGCCTAGCCTAAGCTAGTAACTTGTACATCAGTAGCTCTGCGGGATCAGAGAATGTCATCCTGGACAGTACTCTTCGGAACCGAGAAGGAGGTACATCTCGGAGCCGAGAGTGGAAGTACATATAGGGACCGATGTACTATATCCCCCCGACCGAGGGTACGTGTCGGTACGTAAACGTATTGGATGTCATTGATCCCAACGACCAGTACCTCGGGGGAGAGGGACTTATGAACCGATGGGTACGTGTCGTGATCACAGTAACAAGAATTTAGTGATACCGAGGACACGTGTTTTCATCTTGGAGTATTTTGGAAATGTCCCACCAATAAAATAATCATTTATAGAATAAATAGTTATTAATAATTATGATATATCTATTGATTTTATATGTATATGTATTACATATCAAACATGAGTATGAACTGAATTTAATATTAAATTCCACCTTTATAAAAAAAAATTTAAATTTAAAAGAGTTTAAGTAAACTAATTCAAACCTTCCCCAAAATTCATCCGACGGGAGATGCTATTGGAAGTAGGCCTAATTATGGAATTGTTGAAATTTGCCCTTTTTACAACAATTCAACAATTTAGAGAGAGAGAGAGAGAGAGAGAGAGAGAGCTGTTTACATTTTGTAAGTGTACGTGTGTGTAAGAGAAAAATTCACGGCCATGGCAACAACCAGCTCTACTGACTCTGCTCTCCCTGCACAAAGGTAATCAGCAAGGCAGACTTATTCTTTTGAATCTCTGCTCTTAGTATATTTACAAGTATACCTTTTTTTATAAGGATTCCCAGTGTAATGGTGAAGTGGGTTAGAGCTATATCATACTAATCTGTGGATTTTTTTTCTTTTCGTTTTCTTCGAATTTTCTAATGGGTGGTTTCGATCATGAATCTAGCCAAACTTACACTATTAACTGCAAAATTTGTAGCATGTTTCTTAGAAGTTGACTTCCCTGCGGTGAGCTTTTGCCTTTATATTTATTGAATTCTTAATCGGATGAATTGAGTCGGTATTTTGTAAATACATCATTATCTTGAATATGTTAACCATTTCTCGCAAGGGACAAAAGGAAGATGTTGTTGTTTCTTCAACAATTTTTTATCTCTATTGGGTCTCTAGTGTTGTTATTTTTAGATTGATTTAGTTATTGAAGTTATAGATGGGATGTTGATTGGGAATACTAGTGATCTCTGTGGTGGGATCTAACTCAAAAGCAAAAAGCTAATCTTACCGCCCTCATGGCTAAAACAGAGAATTAGGTTAGTCCATCTACTGAGATGGGTACCAGAGAAGATGCCTGTTAAGTTAGAAATTCGAAAAAAAAAAGGAGGAGGTGATGATTGAGTTATCTAGAGGCTGTGATGGTAACCCTTTTCAGTATGAAAAATCATTCGATGTTTATATTTCTGAATTACCGTTGGATATTTTGAAGGGTTTGATATTTCTAGTTGTTGAGGTGTATGATGATATTTTTATCAAACATGACCATGTTGAAGCCAAATATGGCCTTGAGCCCCATTTGATTTGCATAAAGGCAATATAAAAATTTACTGCTTTTTTTGGTTTATAACAGTTGTTTCATTTAATTTGTTTCTGATCTTTCTCATTAATAAAACAGAATACTAGGTTATTTATTTATTTATTTCTTGCTCAAAATTGTTACAAGATGAAGTATGCAATGATGGATGCCTCGAATCAGAATGTAATTAAGAGAATGGTGGGTACTGGGTATATCCAATTATAAGGGCCTTGTTATGAGAAGCCACTTAAATATTTAATGTAAATGGAGCATGAACAAAGAGGAAAAAGAGAAAAAAAAATCATTGTCTATTCTTTTAATCAAAGTGATTGCTGAAGTATGAAGTTAAGGTGACTATGTTCAAGCCATATGAATAGCATAGGTAAATCTAATTAATTAAGGTAATTTGAGTAGCAAATCATATCTCTTTTGGTTAGTATCTTCAGCTTGTTGATAATATTAATAACTGTTTATGAACTGCTAGGTTATATTTAAAGAAAAAAGCTTTTACTGCGATAAAGCTGGGCTCAAAATTGTATTAGGCATTTTTGCTCGTTGTGATTTGAGTTATGTTATATATTTTTTTTCCGTTCTGGTACTCCTTACTTGTAAAGGCTTTGCTTTCTTAAGGGCAAGGGTTCAAGTTCTAATACTCGTCCTTTGCTTTTTAATGTACATTGAGGGATGGGGGAAGGAGGATTCAAACATGGTTTGGCCAAGTTGTCGAAGGTGGCACATTGCTACCTTGGATTCTACACATTAAATTAGATGACATGTTGCTTGAAGTTCTGCATTTAACATTACAATTATGCAGATTATTAGGGAAAGTTGCATTGGTCACCGGTGGTGCTACTGGCATTGGAGAGAGCATTGTGCGGCTATTCCACAAGCATGGTGCTAAAGTTTGTGTGGTTGACATCCAAGACGACCTTGGCCGGAGTCTCTGTGAAACCCTACCCAACACTTGTTATTTTCATTGTGATGTGACAAGTGAAGATGATGTTAGCCGTGCAGTTGATTTCACCGTTGATAAATTCAGCACTCTTGATATCATGGTTAACAATGCAGGGCTTTCAGGCACGCCATGCCCAGATATCCGCAATGCAGACCTTGCAATGTTTGAGAAGGTTTTTGATGTGAATGTGAAAGGTGTATTCATTGGAATGAAGCATGCAGCTCGTATAATGATCCCACAAAAGAAGGGTTCGATTATATCTCTATGCAGCGTTGCAAGTGCCATTGGAGGCTTGGGGCCGCATGCATACACAGGATCCAAGCATGCTGTGTTGGGGCTCAATAAAAATGTTGCAGCAGAACTCGGGAAACATGGCATACGTGTGAACTGCATTTCTCCTTATGGAGTTGCAACAGGCTTGGCTTTGGCTCACTTGCCTGAGGAAGAGAGAACCGAGGATGCCATGGTTTGTTTTCGTAATTTCCTTGGGAGGAATGCTAACTTGAAGGGCGTCGAATTGACAACAGATGATGTGGCTAATGCTGCGGTCTTCCTAGCAAGCGATGAGGCGAGATATGTAAGCGGGCTCAATCTTATGGTTGATGGAGGCTTCACATCTTCGAATCATTGCCTTAAGGTATTTCAATGAAGGAAACTGTTTCTCAGCTTCTGAAATTTATGGGCAAATTTGATTTGTTTAGCAATTTTAGTTTGTCCTTGTGTGGTCAAGCTGCCTTCTATTTTGGTCTTCCTCTGAAAATAACATGGCAAAAACTGAGATTTTGAATACTATCACCCTGCTTAAATGTTAGTGGACTCACCGATCTGTATAGGATGTGGTGTAGTTTAAGTGGTAACAAGAATGAATTATAAATTCAGACGTCTTGAGTTCGAATTTTGACAATCCATTGGGGTTAGGTCATAAAGGATTTATCCATTATGAATATTTTAGTCCCGTTGTGGATGTTTTTCTTTTGGCCGGATTGGGAAGAGAATTAGATAAGGTGTACGTAAACTGGTCTAAACATTTTTGACCATTGAACACAAAAAACAAAAACTTCATGAAAAACTTTAAGGAGATGAATGCAAGCACACACATACCTCATCTCACCATGTTTAACCTAGTCTATTGGCCATGTTGTCTACAACAATTCGTGCATGACACTAACTTAACTCATATACTATTTATGTAAGCATGTCGTGTCATTTTTAATTTGGGTCAATTGATTACATTTTAGAAATTGGCTTTCTATGTTGTTATTGATGGGGTCAATTTGAAATTTTTTTATTCTCGATCCCTAAATTTGATTTGAATTGGAGCTCGTAGTCCAAGAACGAGCAAAGCAGAATATCCGCATATAATCGAGAAACTAAGTTGGGCTTGAACAAGAGTTCAAGCTTAACAGTCGAGTTTAAGCCTCTGACAGTCAACTCTAGACAACCTTTAATATTTAAAAACCTCCAAAAAAAAAAACACTCAGCTCAATTAACACTCCGCTACAACCATGGACTTCGCTTGCAGCCTGATGCTTTTCCCTTTACCAAATGCGAGTTACCACCAACTTTATCTTATAGTCCACCATTTTTGCTCCAACAATACTATTTGAATCTGATCTAATTTTATTATCTAATTTATTATTGTTGTTGCGTCCTAACTAATATTGGTGCCTATCGTCAGTCCAAAGACATTAATCAGTTAAATTAATAAATTAAATTTAAATAACATTAATCAGTTAAATTGATAAATTAAATTTAAATAACATTAATCTTTCTCATCTTGAAAAGACCCTTCATTTGGTTTGTAGGGAAGACAAAATAGTAGATTCCCACCAAGTGCATTTTCATCTCTAAGTCCCATAAAAGATGTTACAGGATGATTAAGAAAGCTTCACAATAGCTCTCTCTCACACTCAAAAAACAAGTGACTTATTGGTGCCTCCACTAAAATGACAAGATGTGGTTGAGAATTTGATGTTTCATTTGTCAATCTTTTGCACTAAGGATGTGAGATACTCAGATAATTTCTTTTAGGGTATGACACATTGACATTGGTTATATTATTTTGTATCTTTAGAAACTAATTAAATGGTTTAATTGTTAATTTTTGTCCAAATAAATAACGGAAGTGAATACGTGATAATAATCTTTTATGCCTATGCTCTTCAAGCTCTTGCCTTTGAGCAAGGACTTCGATTTGAGTCAGAGTTATGCTCCGTTTGGTACGATGAAAAAGTGGTACGATGAAAAGTGGGAGGATGAAAAGTTGGAGGGATAAATAAAACATCATATTTGGTAAGGAAGGAAAGTAGGAAGGATGAAAAAGTGGATGAATTAACTTTCCTTCCAACTCATCAAAATTAATCCCTCCAAAATTGGAAGAAAAGTAGATGGAAAGTTAATTATTTATATTAAGGTGTATCTTATTTGTCTATATATCTTATGTATATATTAATTTTATATAAAAATACAATGGTAAAATATGTATATATATTTTAAAAATAATTTAAAAAAAAATTAAAAAAATATTTTTTTCATCTTAACTAAGGGTGAAAATTTGAAAATTTTTGACTCAACACGATAACACGGATTGAACTCAATACGAAAATAAAATGGTCAACTCGCAATTCGACACAACACAATTAGTTAAATGAGTTAAGTTAGATTTGACTAATATTCGCACAAACTCGTAATGACTCAACACGAATCTGGCACGACACGACTCGACTCGATTATCACTCCTAATCTTAGCCAACACAAAAAAAAAATAGTCATTTTTATTTTTCATCCATCCAACTAAACACAAAGGAAGGAAAGTGTATCCTTCTTATTTTTCATCCTTCTTACTTTTCATCCTCTTTACCAAACGGAGCATTAAGGTATCAAAGTGATACCAAAAGATATAATCCTTTTACCTTAATAATTTCAAAAAGAAAAAAAAAGACTTAAAAAATAGAGTGTGATGTGCTAATGGCATGCATGGTATCCTTGGTTTTTCATGGATACAATCTTGCACAGTGTCTATTACATAGATGTTTGGCTGATTCGAATTTATCACCAGCAACTAGAGCCTGGAATTCAGTCATTGTGGGGGATTTTTGGTGCTGATATGTCCAATATACCACAATAAGAGGGCAAGAATTGATGTAATAATAAGGTTATTCTAGTGTGTCCGTAGTGGTTTGAGTTGTGATAATAATTTTTTTGTACACAGAACAAGACTATGTATATCAGATCTTTTTCAATATATAGCGGGAAAAAATCTCATGCAGTAGATTGTCCATATATAACATCTATATTTTATACTATAAGAATCAACTCAGGAGAAAGAGTGTTTGAGAAAATTTTCCTCCCTAAATTTTATTTTCTCTTAATTTTGAATTATTTAATAGTAGTATAGGGTCTCTTCCAATTGAATTCTTCCATATGACCTCTATAACCACTTCTACTTTTTTGGATAACTATTTCACATTTAAATTTTTCACTGTCTTTATTAACTACTTCACTTTTAATTTTTTTTTTTTTTAACTTTAAATATTTTCCTAATAATGTTAAAACTGGGTTGAGGCAGGGGTGGTGATGGGGTGGGGGAGAGATAACGCAAATTCCGGGAATCACATGGGTCGATCAGTAGGAGTACAATATAACAAGCAATTGAATTAACATCATGTAAGTCTTGTGCACTAGATTGCGTATATCTGTTCTATTTGTCTTTTCGCTTTTTTTTTTTTCAGGCATTTTCTCCTTTTTCTGTAGTCCCTGTTTTTTAGTTCTAAAGGTGTCCGAATCAACTTATGCGCGACTCGACTCGACTCGACTCGACTCTGCAGCCCCCTTTAACCTAAGTGGCTATTATATTTTTTCTGAAAGTCTACTTATGTGGTAATGTGTGTTTACGGTCCAAAATAGTCAGCAAGGTTTTATGGATACAAATTTTTGCTACTGTTTCGTCACCATTCTCTATTTTATTTGTTCATTTTCTAGAGTCATTAGTATTCTCTATTATATTTTATTACGTCAACAACGTCACGAAAAAAGTCAATTATGGTTACTTATTCATCTGATCATAGGTGAAATCCAATTCTAGCGCAAAGCGAAGGGATTGGAAACCAACCGTTTGTATGGGATTAAAATTACTAACCAATGAAGTCCAAAAAACTGAGATTAATCCTAACAAAAGTAAACTCGATTTTAAAACATTCGGATTGATGGTAAGTTTTTATAGATTGATACCAAAACAACTCATTATCTTAATTTAGTATTCTTAAAAATCCTTGCACAAGAAAAACAGTAGTAGGTTATACAGTGATTGATTTCTTTGGTGTGAGTGACCAAAAAAAAAAAAAAAGATTTCTTTGGGGTATTATTTCTTCGAGCTCAGTCACTATAGTTTCAGTTAATTTTTAAAACATGTCCCTTAAAAAATAAAGGTGGTTGACCCTTACAGGTGTAAGAAATTTTTAACTTGAGATCTCTAACTTTTAAAGAGGATTGGACTATCACAACTCCTTATTATATCATAGATATGAGTATAATTTTTGGTAACAAAATATCTAGTGGTACTAAAATTAAACCTCTGTTAAACCACCGGTGGGCATTGCAATCAGATTAAATGAATTTGTATCATGTGTTAGTGAGTTTATTAAAAAAATTACTCAACTAGTATACAATTCATTGATTAAACTAGAGCAAATCACAAAATCGAGTATGACTCATATATTAAACAGATTACGCAATACAATCCGTGTGACCCGTTAATTATACAACACCAAAAAAGACCTAATTAAAATCCATAACTTTGCAATATAGTGACTAGTGAGTGATTTTAACTGAGTATTCCATTGATGAACTGGTAATCGGGTGATACATCGATTGAGATACTCCACCCAAAAAATTTGTTTATTACGTGGGTCTAATGGGCCCACTTGTTTATAACCGAGTCTGTTAAGATTAAATTTATACTCATTAATTTCTTTAGGAAAAAAAAATTATATCTGATAATTGAACGGATAATTATAAATATGAATTTAATATGATCTTGCCTTGCATGAATCTTTTGTTACTTTAAAAAAAAAAAAATTGACCCTCTTTTTCTACACTGCATCATTGCTTTCTTAGGGGGATAGGAAAGAGGAGGCTTTAATATACCATACTGCACCATACGCCACTCATAGGTCCCACCGTCGGCCTACTTTCCGCCGACTTCTTTCTATCTTTTAGACCGTCCGACCGCCCAGACCGACCACTTCCACTGGTCAAGAAATCTACCAATTAGAATGAACAATTTGTACTCTGCATATTCTAATTTAAAATTACACTTGTACCCCTAGCTTGACACTTCAACATATGACCCACTGCTCCACACAAAGTTAACAAATTTGAATTTGGCCTTTATAGATTTTTGTTGTCAACATATGGACCCATTAAATAAACAGATTAACACAAATCCAATACACTACGATTGCAAATATGTTGAATAAACATTTTAAAAAAAAAACTAACAAGACATGACTCAAACATGATACAAACTTGTTCTAGAAAAAAAGGGTTTGAGCCTTGAATACACCTCAAATCATACATTTTTCAAATTTAATTGCAACTCAACCTCCAATTTATACAATCATTAGTAAACCATGGTTTTCGAGCAATGAAAGTTTGTATGTGACCATTATAATACTCAAATTAAGGATATTTGAATTTACATTTCATCTCTCATTCGACCACTAAATCAATGTAAATTCATAAATATCTTCTCTAACCGTTGAAGAACCAGGTTAAAATGAAACCACCACCTTATATTATTAATTTAAATTGTTTGAGGGATGATATAATATAAAACAAAAGTGATGATAATAATAATATCAAGAGGGCAAGAATTTCGAGATATAATAACTTACTTATAGCAGACTTCAACATTTTTTCCTGGCTTTTCAGAACTGCAAAATGTATAACATAATGGAGTGGAAAGACCACCTTAGCTTGCCATAATGTTAGGGGTAATTCTGTCATTCCACAGAAGCATGGAACTGGAATTCTTTAATCCCTCAAACAAGAAGAAATAGGCCATTGGCATACGTAGAGTTTCTTGTCAAAGATGATAATAATAATTCAATACAGAAAATGGCCAACAGAAAGGGTCCCAAAACCTCCCATTAGTGCAAGTCAGCATAGAACACTTATCTCAACCTTATTCCAATTTGATGTACCAAATCAACACTTGAATTTAGACCAAAGCAATACCAAACATGGAATCTCAGGTAGTTGGGATTTCAAGAATCCTCTTCCTTTATAAAAGGGGCAGCCCAAGCATGAGCCCCCGTTTGTGTCAACTCTGGGAAACGTCAGATGTATGCACCCTTATCCCAGGCTAAATCTCTAGAATTCTCTTCTTATCTATTGAAAAATTTCACCTCAAAACTAAACCAGAAAGAAAACTACTTTTCCTTTGAAGCTTTGAGTCCTCATCATCAAAGGAAGCAAACCCACCTCAAGTTCTCACTTCCAATGTTTCTGCCTCTGGTTTTCCTTTGAAGATGGTCCAAAGAAAGGTACCCAACAAGCCTGGTATCCAAGCTAATCATTTTAAATCCGAGGAGCAGTTGGAGAACCTCAAACCATCTTCTTCTAAATACCAGGATGGCAAGAACATAGGAGGAGCTGACTTGAAGAAGAAAATGAAGAAATCAAGATCAATCAAGCGCTCAGACTTTGAAAGCCTACAATCATCAAATTTCAGACAGCAAGTATCACAATGTGGAAAGCCACCACCTGTTGATTTTCCAAATGCTCCAGCAAACCCACAGAAGCAGTCCCTGACCAAAGCATCGGACATGACGCCAAATTACATGAAGTCCACGAGCAGTTTTGATGCAAGGAAAGAGCGATCTCAGGTAAGTTTGCGGACTCCTCAGACTGGTTCTGATAGCAACAGTCCTAGCCGAAAGAATTCAAAGAACCTGAGACTTAGCTCAGCTTCTAGTCATAAACCAGTAAGACCATTAGCTAGGACATCAAGTTTGGAGCTGGCAAGGACTTTAACAAAAACTCCCAGTTTTAAACCAACAAGAACTTCAGCTAAAAAATGTTCCTCAGTTGTTCAATGTGAAAATCTAGATGTTCAGAGAGCAACATGTTCCTCAACCTTAAAAGAGTCCAAGTCTCCCATTTACCTTACACTTAACCCTGGGGGAACAGAATCAGAAGGAACCTCTGCTATGAAGGTTTGTCCATACACTTGCTGCTCACTAAATGGCCATCATCACACTCCTTTGCCTCCATTAAAGTGCTTCTTGTCAGCAAGGAGGCGTATGCTAAAGACCCAAAAGAGTATAAAGCTGGCATGTCTATCCCCACGTCGATCAAGGCCATCTGGAGATGAAATGAAAGAAATCGATATAGGGCAGTCGACCTTTGATGAGAAACCAGAAATTCAAGAGCTAGATTTAAATAGCTCAGCAATCTCTCCTCTGATACAAGAAGAGAATGCAGATTTCTTTATAGAAAACCATGTTAAAGAACGAGAAGATAATAATGATACTATTGGTGAGGGTAAAAACAGTGATGATCACGCCACTGCTGATTTATCTGTTGATGGTATCATGCCTTCGGTTGGAGGCAGTGATGAAACAGCAGCAGAACATGATGGTGGACAGCTTGTTGAGAACTTCTTAGATGAACCTCCTTGTTGTGATGGTGATTTTGAGGACAATCTCAATCAGAAAAATGATATCATCTCATCAGAAATGGAAATTGCAGCGTTCTTTCCTGAAGTAGAAATCCCCCCTAGTATTCAGCCAGATGAACTAGATAATGAGGCTACTGATATGGAGTGGGAGGCAGGACAATACTACGTTCCATGTTCCGACGAAGTTGACAATTTAATGCAACCCAACACTGAATCTGATTTGGAAAAAGGTTCTTCATTGGAATTTGTCAATTGTATGTTCCATGATGAACCCATTGTCGAGTCAGATGACATCGTTAGCAGCTGCTTTGAAAAAATTCTGGCTGATGAAGTGCTCCAAGAATTCTTTGACGAGGTAAGTATGAGCTCTGAAGCATGGCTTGTTAATAGGGATTCTGAATCAGATGCTTCATATGCGGATTTGGCGGGTGATGAAGATATCCAAGTGCCTGACAACCAAAATGATGGCCTGCTCTCTCCTCCTAATGACGCATTTGAGGACTCAAAAACGACAGAACAAAGAGATGGAGATTCCAAGTCACATGACTCCGTGAACCATTTTATCATTTTGGTTCCAGCTGAAAAGCCAATTGAGGGACCGGAACCGTGGGCAGTCACTGAAGATAAGCACGGAGTCTCGGAGGCAGATATTGAAATCCCAACAATGGATCTTCAACTTGGAGATGATAAAAAGGAGTGCACCATCAGCAAAGAAGATGCAGCTTTGATTGATCATCAGAAGAACGAATCTCTTCAAGATGATGATGCAACTGCATTTCTGAGAAACCAAGAGCCTGACCATTCTTGTGATTTCACTGATCAGAATGAGACATTCACTGCAAGCCATAACAACATTGACGTTCACCAGTCTGATGCAGGTAATGATGGAAACATATTCGGTAATGAGGTGCTTGATGGAACCCTCCTTCCCAGAACAGAGGATTCAGAAACAAATCATAATTGCTTGGAGAAAGAATTCCCCCTGAACGATGCTGAAGAAGGAAGGGAAGAGAAAGAGCAAGTTGAAGCAGTGAAATCATTCGTTGGAGTTCAAACTGACCTATGGCAGGGTTCCTCTGAAGCTGTCCACAACCTTACTAGTGAAGACAGTGATGAAAGGCAGAATGGTAAATCAATCCTACCTTTTGATGACAAAAGCCTTCCAGTTGAAACTCAGGATCAATCATCTATTCAGCAATCTCCTAGCAACAATCTTGTAGGAAATCAGAACAACTCAGCCGAAAATCAAGAAGAAACTGAGAAATTTGAAACATCAGATACCATGGACTCTGAAGGTCAGAATCATTTGGGAATGATAAGAATTGGATCATGGGAAAACAGAGACACAGATGTTCATCAAATGGAAGCAGGAAGTGTAACCAAGTTTGATGAAGCAAAAACATGCTCCATAGCCAAAGCTACAACCAGCACAGAAACAACAAATACATTCTTCCATTCAGGAAGCAATTCCAACCAACAGCCCAAGACCTGCAAAAACCCAAGAGGAACAACAATTAGAGGCAGCAGACCAATCGAGGAGTTCGAGGATCCAGGGAAATTCAGCCCACAAGAACCAAATTACCTGCCAGTGGAGCAAGACCCAGAAGCAGAAAAGGTTGATCTCAGGCATCAGATGATGGATGAAAGAAAAAATGCAGATGAATGGATGGTAGACTATGCACTTCGCCAAACAGTTACCAAACTCATTCCGGCTCGCAAGAGAAAAGTGGCGTTGCTTGTTGAAGCCTTTGAAACAGTCTTGCCAGCACCCAAATATGAATCCCATACGAGACATACTTCAGGAGCTTTTGCCCATACAAGACCCATTCAAGCTTGCAGCTGATACTGATTACCATGGTAAATGCAATTGAAATGTCCTTTATTCCTATTATTTCCTTATTTTGAAAAAGAATTAATAGCTCTATTGAGAACTCAAAATTGTGTAATGAAAGAAGCACTCAGATTGATATCATACAGACCAAATCATTCTTTCCTCATTTATGTTGCAGGTTAGGAAATTCACAAATGTGATTGTGGAGTAGCAAGAATTGTAAGGCAGAGCTAAGGTCAACATTTTAGGGGTAACCTACAGTTCATTCGAACAACTGACTTCTTGTTCACCACCTTTCCAGAACTACAGAAAACAAAGCTGCTTGATAAAGTAATGATTAAACTAGAGTTGATAGCATTGTCATGGCTTCTCCTGGGCTTAATGGTGGAAATGCAAGTTAATACCATTAGGTTTAAAGACATATGCAGTGATAAGAAAAAGTGTGGTGTTCAGTTTCTTCAGTGATCTATCTATCAACTGTTTGTTGTTGTCTGAGGGTATTGTACCATCCAAGTATGAATATTCATAAGTACTTTAGCATTTCTTGTATGTTTATGCTAAAATATTGAGCTATATCATCGTCACCCTACATCTGTAAGAAAGATATTGCTGTAAGATCTCAATTAAATTATCAGTAATGAATTGTGAATATGAAAATTAATCAAGATAGAGTGGATCATATTTCTCTACAATAGACTCCAGTTCTACAAGTTCATATAAATTACCATGGCTGCTGAAGGCAGCTTGAACCCCACTCCTCTCCAATTCTCCTATCCCTCTGTAGTAATAAGTATAAACCATTTAATTTCTTTGCTAAAAGCCTCTACTGGTGTATCTCTGAATCCATTTTGAGTGCAGGAGATTCAAGAATAAGCGACTGAAGCTCTTTGTAGTAATTTTCCAAAAGAATGCCATCCGACCTCTGATCATGCAGATCAGCTGTGCGGGAACTGGACTCCGCATTATGAGTGTGTTCAACTGATTTGTTTGTCAGCTCATCATTGAACAATTTCAGTGTACTTGTCGTTGAAAGAGAATGCACGGATTCATACAAGCATAGGAACTTGTTTCTCTTTTCCTGTGTTCCAACCAACCTTTCTCTCAATCCATCCAGAAGGCAAGCTAGAGCACTGTGTCAATGTTACATAAGAAGAAAGCAATAATAAAACATTGGAACCAAAATAAGAAAACAAGAAACAAAGTCTATAGTAAAGCAAAATAAAGTCCAATTTCTTGCTTACCTAGTAACACCTCTAACAAAACCCCAGTTGGACCCAACAGACATGGATTCCTTGAAGCCAATATTAAACCCCTCTTGTGCAGATGCTTCTTTCCCCATCATGAGACCATCACGATATCCAATCTAGTAATCCATCAAGAATGACACAACATTAGCTAAAAAATAACATATAGCTCATTTCTCTCTCAGTCTCTCTCTCTCTCCTCTGTACACACACACACACACACACACACACACAGACATACACAATACAACAAAAATGAACTTTAAGTTGTGAGATTACAGTGTAAAATTGGTTACGCCTCCTTTGCCACTCTCTGTTCAAATAGAAAGCATGATCCAATTCTTCAACAGAACCATTCCTTGAAGATCCATCTTCATGCCACAAGTCATCATCATCATCATAATCTGAAACTAAGCATCGGGCTTTAGGCATACCAAACTAACAGGTTATACAAAAGAGCTACACAGCAAAAATTATTTGTGAGGATATTATAATGCTACAAGTTACTTGGAAAATATTATTAAAAAACCTGGGATAACTACCTGGGGAAAAGTGGTCAGTGCTTTTTTGGAAAAGGATAGAAGAAGTCAATTACAACTCCAACTAGTATAAATAATTCAAGTGGTCAAGGAGTTGCAGACAATCCTAAGCCACACAGTAAAATAATGGAATGGCCAACCTCGGTAGCATTGAGAGGATCTAAGACAGTGGATGGAGGAGGAATATTAGGAGAAACTAAAACCATTGCAAATCAAAAGGCCAAAATCCAACAAGGCCATAGAATTCAGCCCTCAGGAGTCGGCTAGGAGCCTAGAAAACATGAAACCTTAAGAAGTCACATAAACAGGGATTCCAACACCTGTATGGTCTTTATTGCTAGTTTTTATATAGGCAATACTATAATGTAAGATCCCTCAAACATGATGATATGAAATGGCAGGGCAGTGAGACACAAAATAGGTGCTCATTTCGCATGGCAGGGTGATTGACTCAGCCGCAGGCATGACAGCTGCTTCTCCCTTTCCTGATGTTCTATAGAATATAAGGACCAAAAAGGACATAACTTACGCCCTGAAAACCAACTTAAATCCTATGAGAATCAGGGACTCATGTTACTTGCAGCTAGCAACTATAACAAGGTTTGTGTGTGCTTGTTTAGCTCATTTTTCTTAAGTCATTAAATCTGTAGAGGTTCCACCAACATTTGGCAGTTTCCATCTGAACATGAAGAGATTCTCATCGCTTGCTAACACTCATCATTAGCAAGTACCAACAGCCAACAACAATCCACTTGCCTAATTACAATGATTTTCCTAAAAGAGGGAGAGATATAACACCAAAAGACTATTAGTCCCTGCATCCAACAAAGAACTCATAATAACGGGTCGTTCCGAAGTTTGCTCCCACTAATAAAAATATGGTATGGATGGTCTGTGTACAATCTAACTTTTGGCATCATTTGTACAAAGCGACTACAAGTCCAAAATAACCCATAACTTTACAATTGTTAGCCCAACATGGCAACATGTATGCCACTGCAACGAGCAATGTTTCCTGGAAGAATCCATGCAATGGAAAAGAATCTGCAATGTGACTATACCTCATACCATGTGACTCACTCTGCTTGCTGCTGGCAGTAGAAATTGGACCCAAGCCAAGTTTTGATAGCTGCAAGGTGTCCGAGTAGAGCTCATTAGCTAGACTGCCTTCCATCTGTGCATGGACACGTAATACAAACAGAGTCAAAACAATCCACGGGGATAAAACAGAAGATTTCAAGAATCGTACAAGAGAAAATTTTAAAAACTAGCAGAATCCTTCGAATATGAAGAAAGAGAAAATTGAAGATTTTAAGAAGGTAAAATTCACAGCCAAAATTCATCATCATAAACTGCTGCAAAGTCTGTAATAAGGGAACAAACTTCTCCATGAAATCAACAAAACAAATATGTACACAAATTATACCAAATTTTTTATTAATGTTCGAATGGTGCGAAATTAACCCTTATCGCCGCCGCCACAAAGTACCGTTGGTTAGTGGCGGTGGCTATTGCGCAGCCTGTGGTGGCAGGGATTAAGTTTACGTTTCTATTAATTGTTGGAATTATGGAGGGAAGGATAGAGAAAAACGAAAGACTAACCAGCCGGCGATGGTTGGCTAGGATTTCGTCCCCGGTACCGTCTGCTGAAGGGGAATGCCAATTCGTGTTAGGTTTCAGAAAAAGAGAGAGGTATGTGAGAGAAGGAGATGGGATCAGTTTTTTCCTCTCTTTAACTTACCAGAGTGCGTGGCCGCAGAGACCGGGGGTCTGGTCAAGACGGTGTCGTTTCAATATAAATATCCAGATCGATTAATCTTTCTCCACGTGGTGTTAAGGGGGCAATGCTCTTCAAGATACGTGGAGTCTATTTTATGTAATTTATTATCTGCTATTTTTTTTAATCGATTCATTCTGTAAAAATTAATTGTTAAATGAAAAAAAAATTATAATTAATTTTAAAAGAATTTTTCTCATTTAAAGATTAATCTTGACAACATTTATTTTATTTATCGGTTAATTTTAACATAATGAGTCGATTAAAATAAATTACGTAGTTCAAGAGATAAATTAAAATAATTAAAAGTTCATGGAATAATTTATGAAGGGGCATACGAATTATGCCACGTGTAAATGATCACGCAAGGGTCACGTAGGGGTTTAAGCCCTACAATGCTCGAGTTAAATTGACTAGGTTGGTAGAAGAGCCGACCAGAAATTCCTCGGCGAGGAAGATAAGAACTGAACGGCATGATCATAACCTAAATTCAAGAGATCTGATTGCACCAATCTAAGTTGTAATCAAGGGAGCATTCGGGAAAATCTTGAGGGAATAATGCCGAATCATAGGAGAATGAGCAATCTTCTCCAAAACGATAAGGCAGCTGAAGTCTATATAAACCTAGAAAGGAGAACAATAAAGAGATGCAAGACCCTTCCGATACACTGTTGAATTCTCTTTCTTTCATTTACTGACTTAAGCATCGGAGTGTTTTCGATCGAAGCACCTCGATCTTAGATAGTTTATTCGTTTTGCAGGAATCTTGATCTTGTGAAGGGATAGCACAGTTTTCAAGGAAGGGAATTCAAACCTCTTACATTTGGCGTCGTTTGTGGGAAACCGCAATAAGAAGTCATGTCAGGACTGAAGAGCACACTAGGATCGCCATTGGAGCTTGATGTTCAGTGTGAAGACTCAGATCCAAACTATCGCATTTCATTTCCTTCTGGAAGTGATATCCGGGTGGATATTTACGGTAGCCAGGACGAATAGCAGGAGGACAAGATTTCCTCCGCTAGTTTAAACCCTGAAGATGACCAAAAATGGCATAGTGGTCCGCATTAGGGGTCCCTCCGTGCCGAGGGGGGTACTCCTGTCGTCATGAAGTTGGTCCAGTCACTGCAAGACTGCCTTGACGCGCACAACAAGATGTTCAGAAAATCGTATACAAGGGGAGAAGACCTTGAAACAAGAAAATGAAGAATTAAAGCAAAAACTGAGAAAAGTAAGTGAGAGAGAAGATTCGGATCACGAGGATCGCCGAACTCGTAGAAGGCAGAACAGAACTCCTGACAAATGAGAAGAAAGAAAAGAAGATCCTCAGAAGACTCAGTACCATAAAAGAACAGATCAGTCAGATGGTCAGGAGGATTGGAAGCAATTTATCACAGATGAACTTGATAGCCGACTGAAACGACCAGAGCAAAGGTCCGCGAGGGATCTCGCACATAGAGCAACCGGAGGGTACGTAGGGGGAACAGATGTTTCATCTTTTACTAAATGGATAGATCGAGCTTAGACACCGAGCAAATTTGTCGTACCGAGTTTTAAACACTATGATGGAAAGACGGTGCGCCACTGCTCACATTCGCCACTACAGGCAATTGATGACAGTGCACAGAAAAAATGAATCATTGTTTTGTACCATATTCCCTAGCAGCCTCAGCGAGTTGACGATGAAGAGGTTTGATAGAATCTCTAGGAATTCGGTGGATAACTGGGGTCAGTTGGCTGAGTAGTTTACAGCTCAGTTCATTACCAGTAGCCAACAACCTAAAGATGTTGGGGCACTATTGACTCTGAAGAAGAGGAATGGGGAGACGTTGCGGGAGTATGCGCACAGGTACTAGGAGACAATGAATGAAATAGAAGCGTGCAATCCAGAAATAGTGGTTGCATCGTTTAAAATTAGGTTGCCCAAAGAGAGTCCATTGTACCAATCATTGACAAGACGACTAGCAACAAGTATGGAAAAACTGATGGCAAGAGTCGAAAAGTATGCCAAGGTCGATGATGACCTCAGTAAGGACGCAAGAAGATAACAACCAGGTAAGAAGCAGTTCGGCAGAGACAAATCGGGACACTCAGCTCGAGAGGAGGGAAAGGACAAGGACAAGGAGAAAGAAGTCTTCCCCTTAAAATCCCTATATATGGGAGTTAGTACAATGTTTAAAGAACTGATTTACAAAATTTTGTCCCAAATAAAGGGAAAGCCTTATTTTAAATGGCCAAACAAGTTGGAAGGAGATCCAGGTAGGAGCAATCCAAATTTCAAATGCTCTTATCATTGTGATATTGGACACATAACAAAGAACTTTCGCTCATTAAAGCAACACTTAGAGGAACTGGTTCAGGTAGGGCACCTATCTCAATTCATCGAGGATGGGGGAAAGATAACACCAACCTCGGCAGTCTCCCAAATGACCGACCTACCCTAGTAGGTGTCATCGATGTTATACATACAGCAACACCACATATGTCAATGAACAATTCGGCTTGGGCTTAGGCTCGAGAAGTTTATCAACTAAGGGAAGGAAGCGAACCACTGGGTAAAAAGTCAAAGGTAAACGAATCGCTTGGGAAGATAAGTTTCTCAGAGCAAGACTTGATTGGTATACACTAGCCACATAATGATGCCCTTGTGTTGACTATCAAATTTGCCAATTTTGATGTCAAAAAAGTACTGATTGACCAAGGTAGCTCTTTGGAAATCATGTATTTCAGCTTGTTCAAAAAGCTAGGCTTGAAAGAAGAGGACCTAGTAGCATCTAATACTCCTCTGATAGGCTTCAATGGCAGGATGGTAATGCCAAAAGGAAAGGTTATACTTCCATTCAGGTTGGGTCCAGTGGGGACCATGACTGAATTTTTGGTCATCGATGCAAAATCAGGCTACAATGCCATTATGGGGCGTACCTGGTTACACGAGATAAAGATGGTCCCCTCAACCTATCACCAGATGCTTAGGTTCCCAAAAGCTGGTGGAGTTGTCAACATACGAGGAGATTAGGTTAGTTCGCGTACTTGCCTCCTCACCTTGGTCCAGGGGAAAGTAAAAACCAATATCGCTGAGGAAGATCCACAGAGATAGCAATCACAGAGTCAGCCGACCAGAGAGGTCGTTGACTCTGAGCCTACTTCTTGCGTAGTGGAAGATCTGATAAAGGAATTCGTGGATGGAAGCACTAACAAATATTTTTTGTTAGGAGCTTTATTAACAGAAGAAGAATGTGCGAGTATAACCTCGTTGTTACGTATGTATGTTAACGTATTTTCTTGGGAAGCAAACGAGATGTTGGGAGTGCCTCTCAAGATTGCTTGTTACTGTCTTAATGTAGACCCGAATTTCAAGCTTGTCCAATAAAAGCAAAAGGGGTCGACTCCACAGCATAGAGATGCGGTAAAGGAAGAAGTAACGAGATTGCTAGAGGCATGAATCATTAAAGAAGTATAATACCCAACTTGGCTGTCAAATACAGTCGTGGTAAATAAGAAAACTGGAAAATGGAGAGTTTGTGTAGATTTCACTAACCTAAATGAAGCTTGCCCCAAAGATTGTTTTTCGCTGCCTAAGATCGACCAACTGGTTGACGTAACTGTGGGAATGAAAGAATGAGTTTTCTTGATGCATACCGGGGGTTATCACCAAATCCCACTCGCCGAGCAGGATCAAGAGAAAACTGCATTCATAACCTCGGAAGGCATATACTTCTATAGAATAATGTCATTCGAGTTGAAAAATGTTGGTACAACGTATTAAAGATTGGTTATGAAGATGTTCTCCAAATTGATCGGCAAGTCTATGGAGGTCTACATTGATGATATGGTAGTGAAGAGCTGAGCTGGAAATAACCATATTGTTGATCGAAAAAATAACGTTTGAGGTCTTACGCAAGTTCAGAATGAAGCTGAACGCTTCAAAATGTTCATTTGGAGTCGGGTCAGGCAAGTTTCTCGGGTTCATGGTGACTTACCATGAGATAGAGGCGAACCCAAACCAAGTGTCGGCGCTGACTCAGCTGGAACAACCAAAAACCATAAAGGAAGTTCAAAAGTTAATAGGAATGGTCGCGGCGCTTGGGAGGTTCATTTTTCGTGCCTCCAACAAGTGCCGACCCTTTTTCCAGGAGATTAAGAGAGGGACCAGCCCACTTTGGGATCAACAGTGCGAGGAGGCTTTTAACAAATTGAAGACCTATCTGGCGTCGTCACAACTTTTGACAACAACTTCCCTAGGGGAGCGATTGTTACTATATTTAGCAGTTTTCGAGCATGCTGTCAGCGCGACACTGATGAAAAATTCACAAAAAGGGGTTAAGTCTCATCTATTATGTAAGTAAGATGCTTCTAAATGCGGAAACAAGGTACTTATCATTAGAAAAACTAGCACTTGC